AACCCATTCCTGCAGAACCTCACCTCTCTCTTAATACTTGTATTGGAACTGTTTCTATCCTCCCAACTGATTATCCCATATATGACAAGAACTGGTCAGATTGTAAAAATGACCTACTTACTTGCTTTGCTGATTATGATACAGTAGGCATACAGTGCTACACTATTCCTCCCAGAGGCCAGTGTAAGTACCATGTCAATATTGCCAAGATTAGCTTCTGTAGACCCCCATGAAGTTTATATTGGTGAATTGTCGTACCATGTCCAACGATATCGACCCCTTCCCCATCAGTGTCAGAAATGTTAGCGTTTTGGACATCCAGCCAAACACTGTTGCTCCACAGCCCGCTACCCTCTATGTGCCCAACCTGGTTATGACCGTTCAAATTGCCCTGCTAAGTCATGTACATGTGCCAGCTGTGGTGACTCCCATAACGATTTTTATATGAGCTGCCCTGCCTATAAGATTGAATGTGAGGTAGCAGTTCTCAGATTTAAACTAGACCTCATTCTACATGAGGCTAGACAGGAAGCACGACAACAAGATTTTCTCTCTCTACCTATTCCAAAACAGTCCTTCACTCTGCACCCCCTCCCCCATCTCCACAAGATGTTTCTGCATCTCCCCCAGTATCTCTTCCCTCTATGCTGAACCATCTTGCCTCTACTCTCCCTATCCCCAAGACAAATCCCTTATCTATTCTAAATCCAGATACTCCAATCTCTACCACTTCTCCAATACCTACCCTTCCTCCCCCTCACTGTATGCATCATACCAGACAACCTGAATATTCATTCCATCTTTGCCTTCCACACTGTCTCCTACACCCTCTTTTTCCTCTGCTCCTCACACGTCTATCCCCTCTTCTCCTCACAAGAGATCTTTTGTTTCTCAGACTTCCCTACCCAAATCCCCTCCAGAAACTCTTGAAGATATCCAAAGATTCCTAGACATGACCCAAGAAAATGTTCCATTCCCTCATCCACCCTCCAATCCCTCTACTCCTAGTCCCTCTACATTCAAAGTATTTTCCAATATCCATCCACCCCCATTAGCTCCCCCTACCTCTCTTCTTCCTACTCTCCCAACAAACCCCATCCTCTCCTCCATGTACACCATTCCCTTTTCATTCTCCATTATACTTACCTCTCCCACCTGGAGACTCGTGTAAATCCTTTCTGTCACAACAGTGTTCTCCGAATTCCTCCCCTCCTGACACTTCTCCTTCACCAGTCCCCTTATCTCACCCCTTAAACTCTTCTTCTGTTACTTCTCCCACAGCCATCTCTACCCGTATTACCTGATGATTATTTCATAACAGTGCTTTTGCCAATTTTCCTTAAAGCAATGTTACAATAGCTTCCCCAACAACAAACACACACCATTCCATCCAATTGCCCTGTGCCCTTAACCCTTTCCTTTATTTATGTCCAATATGGATCATTTGCACCTTTTACCCATTACCCTATCATACTATCGTATAACACTATAACCTTTGACATTTAGCACTCCTTATACTAAATGTTACCTCATTTACCCTTTTCACCATAATACTTTACCATAGTGCTGTATGGACCTAAGATGTCTAGCAAGCCACTGGGATTGCCCATTGTGTGTTGAATTTAGTAATTGTTTTTATAAATAGATGGCTCCACAAGTACTAAGTCACCAATGAGTCAATTATGCAAACTATGTCTCACCTGTTTACCCTTTTCCTTGATTTTCTTTAATATTTTCTAATATTTAATACTGCTGTTAGTAATGTCAGTAACAGTATAGTAATTATATGGTTTATAACAAAAATAACAGTGTCAATATTGATAGCATTGGTAAAAAAAAGCGTCTTCCCACTATTTCAAGGAGAAGTGAGGTCGCAAGATCTACTAATTGACTACTTTGTGGCAAAGCATTGGCAAAGTCATCTATGCACAGAAACATTTAACCAAGCATTGCCAAAGGGAACGCACCTTTTTCATGTCGACATAGGTTAATGTTTCGATACTAAATCCTATTTGATTGTATTCATTAATTTTTATTAGTATTGTGATGATTGTATTGTATGGTACCTGATCAAGAGATATTCACTTAAAGATGCTCAGCTTTCTCTGTAAAATTCTATCAAGATCAATATCAATATATCAGTATCCTCTTCCCCGTCATCCTTCCTTCACCTCTCTCCTTTTCCCTTCCTCCTTTTCTCATATTTAATTCAGATTTATTCAAATTGGTGACCTCATATCCTTTTTCCCAGAAATCTGCGTGTGCTAACTCTTGCCGGAGGAGTTTCAGATAAGGTCCTATGCAACTGCTTGTGGGGTATAGACAAAAGGAGTGATAAAGTGTTGGATTTGGTCCTCAAAGGCACAAAGGTACTGTGGTTTATCCTTGTTTGATAATGAAGTGTCTCTGAACTTCGTATTACTATGTGGTCCTGTGTTTACTTGTATGATATTCCTGTTTTGTGCATGCCATCTTTTGAAATTATTTATGGTGAAAAATGCCCTTCTTGTTGCATAAAAGCACAACAGCTTAAGTTTTTTTTACCTGCAGTCAATATGATGCCCCTTTTCCCCCCATCAGGCTACCTCATCTGTGCAGTTGTCACTTCCTCACCTAGAGGTTCTGCGCAACAACATACGGAGGAAGAACTCAAATACAATGCGCGTTAGTTTAGGAGCAGTGGCACTTGTTCTCCAGCCAAAACTAGAGGAAGTCGAGACACTGGAGTACTGGGATACCTATGATGCAGTCCTGTATCTCTTGACTATGGAAGACAAGTATAAGGTAAGAAGAGGCTAGCTTTTGTTTAATTTTAAAAACTGTTAGAGGCAAAAGTTAAAAAGTTTATAATTGGAGGGCTCATAGGACAAAACTTGGGTGCCTCTGAGATTTTGTAATTGTAGCTGTGTTTTAGAGAGTTTATTTACGTAATATGGTGACCTAGCTTTCTCTTGCGGATTTTGATTTCCTAAGAATTGAGATACATCACAAACTACAAGAGATGAGAATGGCAATTGCTTTGAATAATTGATTATGCTATTTGATAATTAACCCCAAGCTGCCAAGTATGGCATGTACGTACATGCCATTGCCTATTGTAGGTGTTGAATTTAGTAATTGTTTTTACATATAGATTGCTCCACAAGTACTGTCACCAATGAGCCAATTATGCGAACTACCTGTCTCACCTGTTTACCCTTTTCCTTGTTTTTCTTTCATATTTTCTAGTATTTGATACTGCTATTAGTAATGTCAGTAACAATATAGTAATTATAATGTTTATAACAAAAATATCAGTGTCAGTATCAATAGCTTTAGTAAAAAAAAAAGCGTTTTCCTTCTTTTTCAAGAAAAAAGTGAGGTTGCAAGATCTACTAATTGAGTCCTTTGTGGCTAAGCATTGGCAGAGCCATCTATGTGCAGAAACATTTAACCAAGCATTGTCAAAGGGAACACACCATTTTCTTGTCGATATTGGGTTAATGATGCTATGGGGTAATTTATAATGCCTGTAGGTAGTTATGGTGCCATAGGATTATTCATGGTACTGTGGAGTCATTAATCCCTGAGTCCTGTAATATCTAATCCTTGCCTTGCTGCACAACTACAAAAAGTATTGATTTTCATCATTCTCAAAGATCAGTTTTGATCTCTATGTTTGTAGAGAATTTGTTTTTATAGTTAATGATCAGTTTTGATAAAATATTGCTGCTGCTGCAAGAGAGAGAGAGAGAGAGAGAGAGAGAGAGAGAGAGAGAGAGAGAGAGAGAGAGAGAGAGAGAGAGAGAGAGAGAGAGAGAGAGAGAGAGAGAGAGAGAGAGAGAGAGAGAGAGAGAGAGAGAGAGAGAGAGAGAGAGAGAGAGAGAGAGAGAGTAATAAAGAAAGAAGACAGGTATATATAGGGATAAGAAATAGAATGCAATATTGCTAGAGGCAAAGAACATATAACCAGGTAGCTCTACTTCCATTTGTCCTGTTAAGCCCCAAAATGTAACTGACTTCCCCAAAGTATTCCAATGGCTGTTGTTATCAGGGAATTTTTTGTTATCATAAATAAAAGAGTGTAATTTTTGCTTTAATTCTGGTAATTATAATGATAATGAGTAAATTTTACACATAATCCATCTAGCTATATCTGATATCTCATAGCACTCTGTCAGGGGATAAACATGATAGCATCATTAGTTCCGCCCCTTTATTTGGCCTGGCCAATCTCTGCAATTTTTTGTGGTGTCTTTTGTGTGCATTTTCTTCGGAAATTATTCAGTAATAACAGTGCCGGAAAAATAAAAGGAAATGAAACCAAGAAAAAAAAAGGGAGTATTTAATTTTTTGCAATGAATAAAGCCAAAGGGGTGGAGCTGAGCTTGGAAGTTGCCAACTAGGATTTTCATGATGATGGAGTGGAGCTACCTGGTTCAAACTACCTTGACAAGAAGAGGGAAGAGGGGACAAGAGTCTTAAGGTTGTTGGTTTAGAATACAGGTGGTCCCCTACTTGCGAAATTCCGTGTTACAAACTTCGGTACTTAGAAACAAAGTTGTCAGGAGCGAGTAAGAGTAGCGCGCGTCGTAAACAAAAGCTGTCTCACTGTACCCACACGGTCTCATTCAAACGTGTGTTGTGCGCTCTCCAGAAAACTTTGTGATTTTGTGATTGTTTTGCAAAGTTTTTGCCCTCATTAACCCCCTGGATCCGGATGACGTGATGATCACGTCAACCATTGTACCTGGATCCAGGGGGTTAAGCACATTTTGGGTGTTAAGTGCAAAAGCAGTGGTAATGCGGCCGGTAGTGCTAAGAAAGGCCAAGTCATCACAATGGAAACAAAAGTGGACATCATAAAAAGAATGGAGTGCGGTGAGAAGATGCCGGATGTTGCTTGTTCGTACCAGATGAAACATTCTACCATCGGTACAATACTCAAGAACAAGGATAAGATCATGGAACATGTGAAAAGTTCAGTCCCTATGCTTATTATAAATTTTATTTAATGTACT